TAAATAAAAAAAAAATGAAATTTAAATAAATAAATAAAATATGTATTCTTTTTATTTTTATTTCGAATTTAAATCATAAAAAATCTATTAAAATAAATGATATAAATGTTTTGCATACACAGCAACACACAAGATATTAACTTGTTGACAGGTTTTTGAGAGGTCAGCATTGACACAGCCAGTGGAACCACTGTACCTCTTCAGGGGTGTCAAACTCAGTTCCTGGAGGGCCATAGCCCTGCACAGTTTAGTGTAGCGTCTGGACCAATCAGACACACCATTTTTCATTTGATTTAACAAATCAATTATTCATTAGATTAACAAACGTTCACAGACCCCTCACCCAATAAACATACTGGGTGCCAAGTTGTCTGTGAACAAGGCCCAGGACCCTGGTTAACAACCCTAATTAAACACACCTGATCCAGCTAATCAGGTCATTAAGGTTTATTTGAAAACTACATGGTATGTGTTGGAGCAGGGTTGGAACTAAACTATGCAGGGCTGCGGCCCTCCAGGAATTGAGTTTGACACCCCTGCATGAACCGTACAGTTTTTGTGCGTATGTGTGTCACGTATCTGATAACAGATGACTGCAGACACTGAAGGAGAGAGGGTCTGTCAGTGGACTTTAGGTTTTTTTGAGGCTTGTGTTGGTGTGTGAGTGTGTGTTATATAAGGTAAGGGTGAGTTGATAACAGTAGGAGGTGTGAAGAGCTTGGGTCCCACAGGCGCTCAGTCCACTGCCATCAGGTCACTTATTAAAGACCCTCATACACACACGCATCCTCCCAACAACCTGTCTACATATATTAGTGCTCCAGGTTGCATCAGCAGAACACCGATCTGATCTAAATTCCATCAGTTTTCCCTCCCGCGGTCCTGAGAACGAGTGCACGGAATAAATAAGTTGCTTTTCCATAACATGATCCACGATTTCCATTAGAAATGTCGGGACATTACGATGACAACAAGCTGAATATAGGAGTGTAATATAGAGTGTGAATATAGTCACAGTGTCTGAATATAAACTGAGGATATTACTGCATATACTGTAGGACGTTATTGCCTGCAGTGCTGGGCCTTCACGGGTCACTAGATAGTGTTCTTATCTGTGTGTGTGTCTAGATATTTGTGCCTGGATTTTGTCTTCAGGGCACATGCATTGAAATGTGTATTGGTGTATTTTGCCCTTCACTGAAGTTTATTTTATATTAGGGTCGATGTGTGTTTGCGATCTGAATATACATTATGTGTAAAAGAATTGTTTGTAGAAAGACAGACAATCGATTGTCAGTTTGGCACATTTGTGTAATGCTCAGTGGTGTATGGTATCATTTCAGTATTGGCAAAATTTACACCTATGACCACTATGAACTTATTTTAAACGGGTCATATGATGTTGCTAAAAAGAACATTATTTTGTGTATTCAAAAACATGAAAACCCATCACAAACAAGGCATTTGTTGCATCCAGTGGGGACATAATTACGGATTACAGCGTCTCCACGACATGGCGGCGGCGACAACAACGATACTACAGCGAGAATAAAAGTTACTCCTTCTTTCTTTGTGTGAACATTTGGGCGCCGTTATGCAAATCTTCCCACATCGTGACGTAGACATGTGGGGGCGTGTTAGAACGAGCCGTTTTAGGTAGGCGTGGCTGACTCTTAACTTTTATAAAGAATATCTTTTTGGATTTGAGACTTTAGTCTTTGCAACTTTACAGATCTTCTTTATGCACCGAGAGCTTGTAACACTCCAAAGAGAAAGGAAAAATTGAAATCGCATCATATGACCCCTTTAAACATAGGAACTGAATAAAAACGAGTTTGATGATATAAAATAGTATGTTTAGCCAATCTTAAAAACAAAAAAAGTTGCTTTTATTCCACAAGTATGCATTAAATTGATCAAAGCAAAGACATTTATAATGTTACCAGATATCAAATAAATGCTGTTCTATTGGTTTCCACAAAAAATATTAAGCAGCACAACTGTTTTCAAAATTGATAATAATAAGAAATGTTTCTTGATCAGCAAATCAGAATATTAGAATGATTTCTGAAGGATCAAGTGTCATTGAAGACTGGAATAATGATGCTGAAAATTCAGCTTTGCATCACAGGAGTAAATTACATTTAAATGTATTAAAATAGAATACAGTTGTTGTAAATTGTAAATATATATATATATTTTATATTTTACTATATATTTGTTTAAATAAATGCAGCACTGGTGAGCATAAGAGACTTCTTTCAAAAACATAAAATCTTACTGACTGCAGACTTTTGAACAGTAGTACATGTTTTTACTTTGCACCAGTACTGGAATGTTCCAGAGCTCTGGATTTAGTGTATTTAGTAACTTAAAATGTGTCATAAGCCCCTTTCACACATACAGACCTTACTGTTAAATTACCGGTAAATTGCCGTAAAGCGATCGTTCCATCAAAGGAGAAAATGAGATGGGAGTTTTTCGACATAGCCTAACTGTCATGAACCGGAAAACACAGAAAACACAGAGAGCTAGACAAGAAGAGCGTTTGAGGTTAGTATATAAATTGTAATTTTTTTTTAGAAAATAACCGATCGTTTCACTAGATAAGACCCTTCTTCCTCGGCTGGGATCGTTTAGAG